TAGTCTCTTTCCATCAAGCCATTTGGTATACTGCAGCTAGAGTAACTTTTCTAAACACACAATTTGACCATGACCAAACTCAATAGCTCAGCATCCAACTTGTCTACCAGGGATCAAAAAGTCTGATGCTTACAGGGGCTAGGAATGAACAAGAGTAGGAAAAAACAAAATAGGGAGTGGTGGGGCCTGTAGCAAACTGGAGAGTGTGTGACATTAAAACTCCCTGTACTGGCTAGCAGCCAAAACAAAAACAAAACAAAACAAAAAACTCCACTATTTAAGCACTCTAAAATACAAAGAAAACATATTTTAGATAGATAAATAGGATGAGAGCTGCATCTGTGAGTCACGAGTGTGTGATCTCTGTGCCTCTACAATATGACCCCAATGCATCTACTCATCTTTTATATACTCTTTCTCATTGCCACCCTACATGACTTCTGAGCTACACCAGAATAGACATTACCCTTTTTATGACTCTAGACTTTGCCCACTATTCTCTTTTCCTAACCCTCTCTAACTAAATCCTACTAGTTCCTCAAAGTCCAGGTCAAGATGCACTCTTCCAGAAAGACCACCTTAACCATAGCCCACCCTAACCTACAGCTCCCTTCCATAAGCCTCAGAACCAGTTTCCAGCCCTCTTGCTTGGACCATGGGCCCCTTACACACCAGCTTTTGGATCCCTTCTCAGAATAAAATACACAGGATTACAAAAGAAACCAATGATATTAAAATAGTTATCAACATATTTACAAAAATAAATTGTCCTATAATAATAGTTGTGCTTCTTGATTAAAGCATTAAAAAATCTAGTGGCAGCTCTGTAATTTTGAAGTAGCAATAAGTGTAAACAGTATTTCAAGATATATGCCGCAACTGTAATGTGGTATGAAAATATTATCTCTGTTAGTGACAAAGTTAGAAGCACTGTTAATACTACTTTGGTCTGTTGCCTATATTCTTAATTAAACGAAATGTTAAACATTAATTAGAAGTTAATAAAAATAAAGATGTAATATTTTTCATATCTAAGTTCAGGACCCCCTGAATTCTCTCAGTGGGTCTCCAAAGGGAGCTTTGAGCCCCTGGTTATCAACCCTTGCTTTATCCTGTCTATGTAGTAATAATATATTACCATTTATGTTGATCATCTTTTGTCATATATGCTTTGTGAATATGAATATAAACTCCCTACTAAAATGTTATTTCCTCAGCACTTTAGAATCATTTGTACGTGTTAATAACCTCAACTAGAATAAAATTTTATTTTTCCCTCAACACTTGAATCACTCATGAAACTGCTAGTTTCATTTCTTTGCCAACACTCTATACGTAAGTATATCTACAGAAATTTCCTTTTTACCACTGATATCCTAAAAACACTGACTGGTGTTAGATTTTTTTCTTTCAATAGATCAAATTAAATTACACTGAAGCAGACCTTCAAAGCTGGAATAATGGTTCTAAGAATCACCTAAATTTAATACACATTATTTGGCAGTAACTCATAATTGCATATATTAAAAGCTCTTCAACAACCTCAGGATATGGTGCACTTTTAAATGTTTGTGTTTCACTATAAATGTGACTATAAGTATTTCAGAACATTTCAATTTCTTCTATGCAGTGAACTTAGTTTCTAAATGAAATTTAGGTATTTTGAAATAAAGGAGACATTAGTATTTTTATTAATAACCTTAAAATTTGAGTTTGATCTTGCTGATTAAATAAAAGTAATTTTTTTTTCAGTAAGACATTTATCCTGCCAAATAACTAAAATCCATGCTGTCTGGCAGGGAAGAGCCTATTGACCCATACTAGGAGAGATAATAGTGGTGTTAATTCAAGTCCCTGTGAAGTGATGTATCCTTAATTGTTTTTTGTTGTTTTTGTTGTTACGAGGAGACAACCATGCTACATGAGCAACAAACTACGATTATGCATGGATGGAGTTTAGCACTGTAATCAAATAGAACTTACAACAAAGTTAATCTGATGATACATATTTAATGCTATGCATTATCGATGTGCTACATGGTAATTAGACATAAATGGTAAACAGCTCGTACAAATGGCAAATTGATGTTACTTTTGCATCACTGAAGCAAACGTTTCTGGGATGGGAGGAGGAAAGAGGTGCTGGTGATTGCAGTCTTCTTTGGAGCCTGGATAATCATATAATTGTTTCAACCCAGGAGCATCCTCCTCACCAGAAGATACTGAGAAGATTGATTTGTCTAGATAAAAGCAATACCAATCTTAATAACTCAAGTGAGTTACCATTTATGCCTTGTACTCAAGTAGCATAATTCCAATTATGCATTTTATATTACACGTTCAAGTGTTTTCTTCCTACAAGCAGAACTAAGAAGACGAGTGTTGATTGAGCAGGGTAAGGAATGAGAAGAAATTTTAGAGTATCTGGCACTGAGAAAGAAAGCAAGCTGGCTTTAAAAAAAAGTCCTCAGCAAATAGAAGGCACAATATTGGTGGGGCAAAAAAGGAAAGGGGTAAAAAACACAAAGATATGTGAATAGGAGAAAGATATAAAGGCTCAGAAAAGGGAATGGAGGTCTAGAAAATAGGAAGAGATGAGACAGGTTCAGGTCAATCCATTTATAGCAAATAGGAAATGTATGAAAGCACAAGTAGCCAGGAAGGATCTACACTTTGTAATTCTCCTTCGCTCACCTTCCCAGAGTATGATCTAAGACTTAGCATAATAATGTGATTTTACAGGCAGTTGTTTTTACAACTGTGGGTAAGATTAAACTAGCAAATTCAAGAATTTAGACATAATTTACTGCCATTTCTAAACTGTAAACAATTCATTCCTCCCAACTGGTCCAGGCTTACCCAATTTAAGGAGAGAGACAAATATATATTATTCATACTACAAAATAAAGTGAAACAGAAAAAACAAATCCCAGGTAATAAATTTCTATATACACATTTTCAAAGCTTGCTGCAAGTAAGAGACATTCATAAGTGAGAATCTTTTTCTGTTTCTGTCCTACACTCCCTAAAGAGTTGAAAACACGACTCTAAAAATAACAGATTTTTTTAATGTTACTGGCAAATAAATACCACAGTACCATTCTGCATATTTACATTCTTGTTTATTTACCAAGGCATGTGGAGGAAAAGTTACACTCTTTTAATGAGTAAAATAATGGCTACATCAATTAACTCTTCAAAACATTGTTCTATTTTACTATAATTGGACTATATAGAAAAGATTAGAAAGCTTCAATTATTGAGAAGTCTCAAGTTTATTTGCCTTATTGTATTTTAAAATTAAGCCCTCCATTGGGAAAAAAAGAGGGAGAACTACATCACATTTAGGCTTCATGCCTTGCTCATTCTGATTAATGTACAAATAACCGTGGGACAATGTGAACAGCACCCCATTTCAACTCAGAGAACTATGGACTTGCTTGCTGCACAGAGAAAAAATAATTTTTTTTCTAAAACTTTTCCACAAGGAGATTTATTAAAGTGAAAGTCTTAACTGACAAAGGCATGTCATAATAATAAAGAACCTGTATAAACTCATTAATCCTTAGTCCTACAGAAAATAATCATGCCTAGATTTAAGACACATATGTGAGATAAACTGTGATGCAAGCCTACACTCCAAAACAGAGAAACTTCCATTCAAACACAGCTTGCTCAAATTATAAACACAGATTTTCTGAGATTTAGAGAGTCTGAAGGGGATATGGCAAAATTATTAAAAGTTACAGCATAATTTACTCCATGTCTTCTTAAAATCAAAATAAATTGCATGGCTCAAAACCAGATGACAACAAAAAAATAAAACTACAATGACCTTCCGTGAAAAAGTCCTGCCTTCCGAAAATTAAACCAGACAGGACCAGATATACCAAGAATTCTAGTAATATGTTAGATCCGTATTATTCTACAAAGCACTTTGGTTGGTTTAATCCTCACAATGACCCTGTAATTTCAGGTGAGGAAACAGGTTAGAAAGCTTAAGTAGTTTGCCCATGGGAGGCAGAATACTATACAGTGGTCCTCTGTAGCAGCGGGTTTCTCATCATCGGATTAAACCAACCACACATCAAAAATACTTGGAAAAAGAACCAATATAAAATCATAATACAGCAATAATCCAAATTTTAAAAATACTACACTATAACAACTATTTACTTAGCATGTACATTGTATTAGGCATTATAAGTAATCTAGAGATGAAAAAGTATATGGGAGGATATGCCTAGGTTGTATGCAAATACTATGCCATTTTAAATAAGGAGGTCCTTATTTATAAGGGGATCCTGGAACTGAGGGATGACTGTAATGGCTTTAAAGTCAAGGTAGACCTTGTTTTGTTGTTGTTGTTGTTTTGGAGACCCAAACCCTTGACCTTGGTGTTATAACAGGATCTTGTTTTGAATCCCAGCTCTGCTACTCTGCCACTTACAAGATATATGAAACTGAGCAATTTTGGTAAACCTCAGTTTCCTTATCTGTAAAATGAGGATAATAGTGCTTATCTCATAGGATTGCTGTAGGATTCAATGAGATAATAAATACATAAAGTGCCTGACATAATCCCCAGCACATATTAAATACCCAGCAAAGAATAACTCTATCACTTACCCACTGATCTTAAGCAAGCTATTTTAACACCTTGACTTCTCAACTTTTTCATCCATAAGTAATAACAATATCTACTTAATAGAGCCATTGTGATAATGAAATACATGTGGTTTTACACACAGTGAATGTCAGAGAATGATATGTCTATATAGACATATACTTATATTTAAAAGGATACATAGCTAATAAACTACAGAAACAGAATTGGAACCTAGATTTTCTTTGTTGAGGCCTCTTACTATCAACACAGCTAGACACTCCTGATTCTATCATGAAAATATAGAAGTGCATTTTCTCACAACTCCATTGAGAAGGTAGCAATCTAGAAATATCTGTAAAAATGAATTTAAATGGGAAAATATCAAAATTACCTGAATTAAGGCCTCACTTAGCATGTCTTCATTAACTTCCAAAATAATGTTTTTTATATCTTCATATGGCATGCGATATGATCCCAGGAAGATAGCTAAAATAAAATTTGATTTCATTAAAAATAGAATAGCATCAAAATTTAAAAGTCCTAATAAATACCTGATTTCTATTTCATAGACACAAAATATAAAATTTCTGTCACTAATACTAATTTAGAGAATTATGAAAAAAACAAAAGTTGTTCCCATTTGATGGACTCTATCCACCTACACAAAATGGATATTATCTCAGGCTCTAATGTTTACAGCTCATGCATATTTATATACAAAACAAAACTCCTACTAATAGCATTCATGACTATATGCTTATGCATTTTAGATTGAGCTGATATAAAATGACCCCAAAAAACTTAGAGATTTTATTTCAAGTTGTCCTTTTAATTCAGTGTAGAATTTAGTGTGAAGATTGTCAGATGCATCCAACACAGTACTTCTTGGGAATGACAATAACATAACCAAATAAATAAAATCATATCGATCTACTTTGCAGTTCACCCACATAAGAAAAAAAAGTGCCTGAATCATCAATATGCTCTGCATTCCTGCTGATATTCATCAGGTATACTATTAGTTGCTTTATACATTGAGTCATGATTTCCCCTATCAACTTTTTCTTAATTGGATATATTATTTCATATCAGAATATTCAACAAATTAGGGCCAACCCCCTGGCTCACTCGGGAGAGTGCGGCGCTGGGAGCGCAGCGGCACTCCTGCAGTGGGTTTGGATCCTATGTAGGGATGGCCAGCTCGCTCACTGGCTGAGTGCGGTGCGGGCGACACCAAGCCAAGGATTGTGATCCCCTTACCGGTCACAAAAAGAAGAAAAATAAATAAATAATAAATAAATAAATAAATAATAATAAATAAAAATTAAAAAAATAAAAAAGAATATTCAACAAATTATGCATAGAATAGCTCACAATTACTCAGAAGGTATTTTTCAATAACATATTACATTTTAATTTCCTTTAAACATACCTTTTTTAAAGAACATAGATGTGTTCTTATAATAGAACCTGAACATATTTCTAAGAATTTTTTTGCATGAAAAAGTCTAGGCAAATGATTACCTAGACATAAAGACTAAATGAAATCTCCACAATCTAAATAAATAATGTTGACAGATATCAACCAACAATTGAGATCACACTGTGTTTTGAAGTAACGTACTAAACATCACCTTTATAAAGAAAATGTACTATCAGGTAAGCAATGTACATATTCACAACAGCTATTAGTAGACTTCTCTGATGGCAACATTCTTACTGACATAAGAATGATGAGTTGTTTATCTTAATTTGATTCCCTATAGCACATTCCTCAACAAAATAAACTCCCATTGCATTCCCTTGTGCAATTAGAATTGCTTGATGTGTTGAAATTTCTCATGCGCTGTGTTTAGTATCCTCGGAATCTGAACATAGTCTACTGCAGCAACAAAGAAAATTCTGAATTCAACGTATAGGGGAGAGTATGTCAAAGTAGAACTTAAAGGCCTACTTAAATGAAGATGGCTTTAACTGTCCAGCTGCTTTAGTAAAAGCATACTTAATGGATGACTGGTTTCTTAAAGATTTTGAGGTTCACTAATCAGTTTTAAACTGCAGTGGTTAACAATTGAACTGGCTCATGCCACAATTACTTCAAACATAAAGGAATAGCAGTAAAAGGATTTGTCCAGGATGACCAGAGAATACTCTAAAACTATCAATCCTAGTTCTAGGCAGAAAGAAAAAAAAGTAACACTTTTTTTTCAACTCTGCCTATGTTTCACTATGTCCTCTAATAATGCTTTATTAACAGTACTTTCCAAAGCTTTATTATTGGTAAGCTTCATCCCTGACCAATGCGAAATTAGGATTTTCTCCACGCTGGCTGAGTGACAAAAAGGCAACCCAAATCATCTTTTTACACAATTTTGTTTCTAGTTGATGCTAAATATACCCGTTCGAAGAATTACAACTTTGTTTAAATACATTCAACAACCCCTCACCACCACCCCCCCACACACAAAATATTACATACACAAATTCTGGGCTGTTTTGGAATCCAAAACTCTCAATTCTTTCACTTTCCTCTTTGCAGGCACAGTCTTCTTTTGTTCTGTAGCTTCTGCATTCTTTTGAACTGAAAGAAAAATGTTGATTCATAAACAATAATGGTACAAATCCAAGTACATGAAATAACATTAGTAAGGCATATTAACTACATTAATAAAGCTCATTTTGAAATCAATAAATGTGTTTATTTCATTAGTTCAAGGAAGAGGATAAACATAAAAATATAGACCTGCTTAGAGGTTTCCCTACAAATTAAATATCAGCACTTAAGCAGAAAAGATAAGCCAAATAGAACCAAAAATCAATTGCTCCTTCTTTACCTAATGTGCAACATTAATTACTCCTTTACCAAGTACCTACAGCAGCACTGGAATTAAATATATAGTGAAATCTCACTAATTTGGAGTAATTGAGGAAAAAGGAAGACATGAATTTCTCCTAAAATATGCTAAAATTTAGACATTTCTTTAATTCAGTGAAATTGCTTTAAAGTACCTAACCCTAACTGCTAAACGGGTTGCCATATAAAAATTCTTGCTCAGACTGCTTTAAAGACAAGGCATGAAGCATTCGCAAGTTGCACAACAGTAGCACCCATTTGCATACACATAATTAAAGAACCTCAAAGATGTGGGCTTTTGAATAAGTTAGCTTTGGCTCCCTTACCATTTTTAAAATACTATTTGCTTCCTTAGAACAGATTGACTTTTGCTTTCTTTCGAAGGTAACCGTCTAATTGGAAACAGTTAAAAGAAGCGAAATTGTAAGGAGTGGCAGTGACATGGAGGGGCTTTAGCCCCCCATAACCTCCATCAGTCCACCCCCCAAATAAACCAGCCCCAAAAAGGAATGCAGCTGTCTGTTATGAAAATTAATCACAAAGTCAAATCCCTAAACCCCTACTGTATAGAAACCCTACAGCTACCATTGTACTCAAGTTGGCAGTTTACCTCTTATATTGTCTTCCAATATAAAAATAGGGTTGTAGGGAATAGGACCATCAAAAAATATGAGAAAAGTAAAGGCAACATTTTTTTCAATCAAGTAAAGTAATAGGCTCTTGCCCCCAAATTCATGCTGGTAAATTTCATCACTGATCCACACATGGCAATAATCATGCTGCTTCTCTATCACTGTTAAAAATGTAACTTCATTCTGAGACAATAATGATATTTATTACTTTAATTCATCTAATCTTCGTTAAGGAAATCACAAATGAGTTATTAATTTTGTTTTTTAAAGGATATACAAAACACAACCACAGTACATTTTTGCTAAGGCAATGTGTTCACAGCACCTGGGAAATTTTTGCAACATGTTGTAGAATGCATCAAAATATTGCAAGTCCATTAAGACGCCCTTTGTTTTAACAGTGAAAAATATAAAGGAAATTAAATGAGCTTACTATAGAAATAACAGATAATATAAATTACCTGAATAACTAAATTCTTAACAGCTCTAAGCTTTACCAGACCAACCAATCTAAAGTGATGCACCGTCTAAGGAGACTAAATAATAATTACACTTGAAAATCATAATCGTGTGAGAGATGGCAAGCAATCTGCCATGTTGACTCAACACAATACAGTCACTGCTACTACTGGAAGAAAAATGAATTTTAATATGTTTCTTTTAAAATCATACAAATATTCCTCAGAAGATCTTTCTAGGGCCACAGTGTCTTTCCTATGCAATAATCAACATTTGAATTTATTCTAATCTTCAAGCCATTTCCAGTTTAAGACAACTGTATATAAAGAAATGAGAGTCCTATAGTTATTCCCTTTGACTATATATAAAAAGTATCTGAATTGTACTGAAATTATTTCTAGAATCATTCAGAAATTTTAACCAATTCAAAGAAATAGTCAAGAAAATTGTCCTAATCTGTCAATATGCTTTAAACCCCACTGGGGGATACTAACTAACCAAGTACATATAAAATGAAAATGCTGTAGTGTGAAATACATATTAAGATTATTACAATTACAATTCCTTGAAGTTGATATGACAAGCAAACAGAAAGGACATTGTTGGGAGGGAGGGGGGAGAGGGG